ACAGATGCTCAGGTGGTTTGCTTGCACAGAGAATGTTGAATCTAGCAAAGTCAGGGTCGACAAGCATTCGGTTCCGCCTGGAGGCAGAGTGAAACGAGATGACAGAAGATTTCACTGATATTTTCCACTGAGACTTGTTGGGGAAGAATCCACTTTCGAGATAACCAGTTAACACGTGGTATAAGTTGTATTTCAGGAGTATGGGAATTATGTCCTGAAGAAACCCATATTGTTTAGTACTAGCGTTGAACAGATAGGAGAATAGACGGATCCCAGCAGGCACGCAACGTTGTTTCAACGTTAAAAGGAGGTGGAATATAGGTTGCAACGTTGATTAACGATATTTCAACGTTGTTTCAACGTTGAGGTTTCAACGTTGAATCCTCAACCTTTTTTCAACTTCAACGTTGAAACAATGTTGAAGCTGCAATACATTTTCAACGTTGAATGTTCGTCGATATTTCAACGTTGAAACAACGTTGAAGCTGCAACATATTTTCAACGTTGAATGTTCGTCGATATTTCAACGTTGAGACAACGTTGAAGCTGCAACATATTCTCAACGTTTGATGTCCTTTGATATTTCAACGTTGAAACAACGTTGAAGCTGCAACATATTTTAAACGTTGAATGATCGTCGATATTCAACGTTGAAACAACGTTGAAGCTGCAACAAATTTTCAACGTTTGATGTTTGTTTATATTATAATTGCATTACGAATTGATTTACTCGAAAGAGTTGTGCCAACAGCTAGTACCATTATAAAATTTTAAATATTAGTGTATATGACGTAACGCATTAACATTTAACACTTCATTATAATTATGTTTCAAAAATGGTTATTTTATTTAAATAAATTGTGAAAGCAGTTTTTTTTTACATATTTATAAAATATGTTTAATCATGTTAATATAAGCTTTTAATAAATAATGACATCTTTATCCAACATCTCACTGTAATTTCATGTTACTATAGAATTAATAAAAATAATTACTTATTCCGAATTAATGTTCTTAAAATTAGACTCATATAGATCCGTGCCGTATACTCTAGCTTATTTTATTAGATTGTGCTTTTGTTGTGTGTATTAATTCTATTATCTTTTTTCCACAAAATATAAAAAAAAAAATTCAAATAAACATTTAACAATTTTCACACTGACAATTAACCCCGGTCAAGTAGCATTACTTAAGATCCACTCCCCAGAAACCTTCGAGATATCAGATAAGGAGTGCCTCTCGCTTAGTTGGTCAGTTTCAGTGTCAGGATAACCTTGTTATGCAATTTTCTTGCTAGGCAGAGTATAGCTGTTTGCAGCTTATCTAGGTCAAAATTTGAATTCAACTGATGAACAAGAAGTGCGCGTCTCCTTGCTGTTCATATTTAATGTGTTTTCAAGCGATATACACAAGGATTAAGGCTGGAATACCAACTTCTGCTCAGTAAGTATATTTAACCTTTTCATGGATTTAAAAAAATAAGATTTTTTAGTATCTGTACATCATTTAATTCTTGTTTTATAAGAATATTTGAAATCTGCGAGAAATGCACATCCTTGGTCCGTGTATTATGTGTAATGTTGATTTTTATTTGGTTATGAAATATAAGTATATTAATATATTATACAATTTAATTAATTGTAGTTCGTCGTAAGGTTCAATCAACAGTTGTGCAGGGGATTGGTTGTATAGTCTGCCTTGATTGCATCAGATTCTGCCTTGATTGCATCAGCTTCTTCGCCCGGGAAAATTATACAAAGGAATGCGACATTTTGTAAGTACACTATGTCTATGTAAGTCTATAACATTTTTCTTTAGTAATAATTATTTATAAGCATACTAATACGAATATTAACATAAAGTCAACTATATAATCATGCTAATTAAATCCAAGTACAGGAATATATTCCTTTGTCTGATTTTTTAAATCATTCATGTATATATACTTTTATCGTTTGAAATAACGTCTTACGTACATTGTATTGAACAAATGGCTTTAACATCTTTATTTCTTTTATTAATAGGCTTTTGCTTTAGAGGGTGGATTCCCCTGCTCATTTCTTTAATTCGTTGGACTTAACTATGGGACTTATCTATATGCGCGATTAGAATCAATGGATCCGCCACTTTGTGGAACTTAGTAGTGTAAGACAGACGCATACTTTGAAGAAACTGCATGGATGTGATTACTGTGGCCCCCTTTTCACTAGTAATATAAATTTTGTCAAGCAGTGATTGAGATTGAGATTCAGTGATTGAATCCGAATTTGTGTTTGTCTTTAAAATACAGACTAAAATAAATTCTCTCACAATCTAGTACTGGATTATAACTTATATAAATATTACGCAATTTGAATTAAAAAAAATTATTAGAATTTGAAATGTATTTGTTTATAAAGTAAAATGTAATATGAATTCAACGTGATTTCAACCAAATATCAACGTTACTACAACCAAAAAAATTCAACCAAATATAAACCTAATTACAACTAATGTTCACTTTTGTTCAATGTTGATATTTGACGTTGAAACAACGTTGAAGCTTCAACGTTGCATCAACTTTCATTTGCAACCAAAATTCAACCATAAATCAACCAAAAGTTCAACCCATTTTCAACGTTTATTCAACGTTGAAAATTGACGTTAAAACAACGTTATGTCTCAACGTTGCCTCAACTTTCATATGCAACCAAAATTCAACGTTGATTCAACGTTGAAATGCCTGCTGGGATGATGAATATACGCTTGGTGAGGTAAGTTGTGTTGAGTTCACAGAGACGACCAAAGAATTGCAACTTCTTAATGTCAATCTCTGCTGTAATTGGAAGGAGACCTAGAAGGCTTTCGCACATGTCTGATCTTGTATGATGGGGCAGTCCCATAACAGGTTTAACAACGAAATGTTGGAATGCGTTGAGTGTTCTTATGTCTTTTGTCCGAAGATCGCACCATAATTCGCTTCCGTAGAGAACTGATGGTAAGACAACTTTTTTGTACATTTTGGCCACTGTTATGGGGTTGAGCTGTTCGGAAACTTTAAGTGCGAAATATGCTTGCCGTCCTTTCCTGCAAGCGTTTAATGTTCTTTCGCCAGGATCAAAGTTGGAACTTAAAAGAATTCCAAGATGATTGTACGAGTTGGAAAATTCAATGCGTTCATTGCCGAGACGCAAGCTTAAAGTGTCAGCAGGATTTGAGCGCTTTTGGTGGAAGAGGAGAACGTTGGATTTTGCGGTGTTAAATGTAAATTGCCAGCGTGTTGAGTATAGGAATATGCTGTCCAGAACTCTTTGAAGCTCAAGAGGTGTGAGAGCTAAAGGAAAGTCGAAAGTATGCCTCCCTGTCGAACGCCTTGGGATACTCGAAACCACTGGGAGCTGGTCTGGTTTACTACAACGGAAAATTGTGTGTTGGAGTGACAGTCATTTATCAAAGACCACTTTGTGCCCGATATCCCGAGTTCGTGAAGTTTGTACATGAGACCGTGCCTCCATACCGTATCGAAAGCTTTCTGTGTGTCTAAAAAGGCAACATAAACAGAGCTGTTTTGTTCAATATTGTGATGGATAGTTTCTTGTAGATTGAAGGAAGCTGTTAGACACCCAAGTTTTTCTTGGAAGCCTTGTTGCTGAGAGCATGGGAAAGATATTGATGGCAATAAGTTTGACTGTATTCTAGTGAGGATGAATTTTTCAAAAACTTTAAACGCACATGGGAGGAAAGCAATTGGTCGGTAACCATCGGGAGATTTTCGAGGTTTGTTGTTGCCTTTATAGATGGGAACAATCAGGGGCCCGTTTTACAAAAGGACTTACGACTTAAGACCAAGTTTAATTATTCATATAACTTTTTAATTAACATTATATCGAAAATTACTTTAAACTTTTTGAAAAGAATGTGCTAAGATATTTTTACATTGGCAATTTCAAAGAAAATTATTAATTTTGCAAAATTGTACAATAATCTGAAGTTTTTGGTCTTAGTCGTAAGTTCTTTTGTAAAATGGGCCCCAGGTCTTTTTTTCAACAGGATGGAACATATCCGACTTCCAGAATTGCATTGAAGAGTTGAGCAATGCATCTAGCTACTTGTATACCGCCATGAATTAGATGTTCGTTTTGAATGAGATCAAGACCAGGGGCTTTTCTGCGCTTGAGATTACGAATAATGTTCTGTATTTCCTTAACGGTCGCGGGACCTACTGGGAAACTATCATTTGTTGATCTCGATATGCGTTCGAGTTCACTATAACGGTTTTCAATTGAAGTGAGAAAGTCTGAACAATAATTTGCATTTTTTTGGCATTATAAATGTCTGAGAAATGCTTTGCAAATGCGAGAGATACGCCAGGAGGGTCGTCAAACTGTTCGTCATTGTATTCAATAACAGGGTAAGTGCGAGAAGAACGTGGTTTCAGTCGTCTGATTAACTTCCAGAAAAGGCGAACATCGCACTCTGATGATTCATCTATATCCCTAAAAACACTTGACATATAACGATCATGTTCGTCGTTGAGTTCGTTCCGGAAGTTTCGTTTCGCATGTTTGTATTTTTTGTAAGAGTCGTGTGTCATTCCTCGAGGGCGACCTTCATTTATCCACATCCTTCGCATTTGGCGCTCTGTGTCGTGTAGCTCTTTTACTTTGGGAATCCACTCTGGCCTCAAGAAGGGTTTGTACTTTGCCGTAGGAATAGAAAGTGATGATGCAGAATGTAGCATAGAGTTTAACTCTGTGCAGAACTTGTCCAGATCATCTATAGTTTTCAGACTTATGTTTTGGAAGTTTGCATGATTATGGATATATTTTTCGTATTCCTTTATTTGGTCTGGTTTGGCTTTATGCCAGGCTGGAAGCGAGGCAGATGGTTTGCATAGAACATGTGTTTTGATATCAGTTTGTAGTTCCATGCAGATTGGCAGATGGTCAGAAGTAGAACTCGAGTTAAATTGCATTTATTACACGAACAAAATATCACCTCGCCCTGTGATTCGGTCGCGCTATGACCTCTGACCCCCAAATAACATTCACACAGAATTGAACATATTTTCTCTTCAATAGGTTCATCTAAGAAAGATATTTGCAAATGTAAATATATTGCTTTGAACAAACTGTTTTCTTTCAGACAAATAGTTTGTTTAGTTAGATCAAGGAAGGATATGGAGATAACGAACAGTATTCAATCTCAAAGTCCATTAAACAATATACAAAATAAGAGCAGAGCAAACACGGACCTCCGAAACATCAGAGGTGGGATCAGGTGCCATGGAGGAGTGAGCATCCCCTGCTGACCGGTCACACCCGCCGTGTGCTCGTTGTCATGATCAGGAAATAACGGAAAAAATCCGTCGTCAATTCAGTGTATAAATAATGGACTAACAATTGGTATGAAAAAAGTCAGTCAGCATTTGACACAATGATAAATTGTATTTGCTGACATCATTGTATCGACCATAGAATTTACGAAATGATGACTTTAAACGAGACTGCTGATATTCTTGTTTCATCAACTTGCTTGTCAATAATTTACCTCGTTTAAGAAATTGTTCATACGTAGAGCATGCTCTTGCGTATCGAATCAACTGAGATATATATGCTCCGTATGCAGGTGATGAAGGTATATTGCTGCATAAGTAAGGGAAATTGACGATAGAAAAGTTAAAGTCATCACGTTTATCATATAGCTTGGTTGTTAGATTACCATTAGTCTCTTTTTCAAGTAAAATATCCAAGTATGAAGCAGACGTGTTGGACTCTGTGGTATCTTTTATCTCAAGCTCACCAGGATATATCGTATCGACGTAGGAATGGAAATTATCTTTATAAATTGACAATACGTCGTCGATATATCTAAATGTCGAGTTGAAGGCCACAGCAAGTGTTTTCTTCTTTTCACGTATAAGATTTTGCATAAATTCTGCTTCATATGAATATAAAAATAAGTCTGCTAATAACGGAGCGTAATTTGTACCCATGGGAATTCCAATAGATTGTTGGAATACCTGGTCTCCAAAAACCACATAGATATTGTCAATCAGAAACTCAATCATCTTCTTGATGTCAACTTCAGAGTACTTATGTGTGCAATCAGAATCTGTTTTAACAAAATAATTTTTCAAATGACCAATGACGAGGTAAGTAAATTAACGAGTTCCATTTTTGTTGAAGAAGCAGCTGTCAATGATATCAAAAAGCCTGGATTTTAATTTGTCGTGCGGAATTGTTGTGTATAAAGTTGAAAAGTCGTAAGTTTTTAAGCTGTTGATTTTTGTAAAGTCTTGTGATTTCAAATTGTCCGAAAGTGCTTTAGAATTTTTAAGTATCCACATCTGATTTACACCACTTCTTGAAAATATAGTTGCACAATTCTCTTGAAGTTTTTCCTTCACTACTGTCAATATTTTAGTGAGAAGTAACGAAAGAGGCTTGGTTGAACATTTACTGGAACCTGCAATGTATCTTTGTTTGTAAGGATTCTTATGTTTCGGAATCCAATATATATAAGGTAGTTCAAATTCATTTTGGCTCTGTGGAATATTAAAAGTATTCAAAACTGACAGGTGATTTTGAAGAATTTCTTCCTTAGAAAGAGAAGTAGAAGTATAAGTAGGATTACCACTTGTAGAATTAAATCCAAGTTCTTCTAGAATGCAATTTATATAATGAGCCTTACAAACGAAGACAATGTTGTTACCTGCTTTGTCGGCAGGAACCAGTACGTACTGATCGTGTAATCTATCTAATTCTTTTTTCACTTCTAGTTTATTGAACACAGAAGGATAGATGGTTTTCATTTTGCCCCTCAATCTTCTAATTCGTGACTTTAACATGGATCTACAGAAGCCCATTAGTGCCAACCTGTATATATAAAGGAAAAGCAATATATAAAAGCAAACCTCGATATATAAAGGAAATGCAATATATATAAAGAAAACCTGGATATATATAAAGGAAATGCAATATATATAAACAAAACTTCGGTATATATAAAGGAAATGCGATATATATATACAAAACCTCGATACATGTATATATAAAGAGAAATGCGATATTTATAAAGAGAAATGCGAAATATATAAACAAAACTTCGATATATGTTAAGAGAAAAATTTCCACAGCCTGACCTTTAACATGTTTAATGACCTTCACAACAACAGAGACTTCGCCAACATATGATAAGCAGCTCCTGATCTAATGTTTTGATTGCGATCAATTGGTGTGGCTGTTTCAGGATGGTATTCAATGTGTTGCTTTCTTTATTTGTGTACCTTGATAATCATAATGATTAAAACTAAAGCTAAAC